CCCTGCCCCATAGAGACCCTCCTGCCCTGTAGGGACCCTCCTGTCCTATAGGGACCCTCCTGCCCTACAGAGACCCCCCTGCCCCATAGAGACCCCCCTGTCCTATAGAGACCCCCTTTTGGATCCCTCCTGGATCCCACCTGGACTCCTCTTGGATCCCCATCAGATCCCACCTGGATCCCCCTCGGGTCCCACCTGGACCCCTCTTGGATCCCTCTCAGTCCCACCTGGATCCCTCCCAGTCCCACCTGGATCCCCCTCGGATCCCACCTGGATCCCCTTTTGAGTCTTGCCTGGGTCCTTCCCAGTCCCATCTGGATCCCCATCAGATCCCACCTCGATCCCCCTCGGGTCCAACTTGGATCCCTCCCAGTCCCACCTGGATCTCTTTCAGATCCCACCTGGGTCCCCATCAGATCCAACATGGGTCCCCTCAGGTCCCACATGGATCCCCCTTGGACCTTGCCTGGATCCCCTTTTGGATCCCTCCTGGATCCCACCTGGACCCCTCTTGGATCCCCATCAGATCCCACCTGGATGCCCCTTGGATCCTACCCAGATCCCTTCAGATCCCACCTGGATCCCCATCAGCTCCCACCTGGATCCCTCCCAGTCCCACATGGATCTCTTGCAGATCCCACCTGGATCCCCATCAGATCCCACTTGGATCCCTTTCAGATCCCACCTGGATCCCCCTTGGATCCTGCCTGGATCCCTCTGGAACCCACCTGGACCCATCCCAGGTCCCACCTGGATCCCTCCCAGTCCCACCTGGATCCCGCCCGGATCCCGGGAGAGCAGAGGCACGGACAGCCCCGGGTTGAGCCCAGGACCCTCGGGAAAAGCGGGGGACACTCGGCAGCCGCCAATCCCCAAAAACGGAGCTGCCACATTCCCATTTCCACCTGGAAAAGCGGCGAGGGGACATGCCGCCCGTGTCGCTGTCACCCGGGAGCTCGCCCCACGCTCTCAGCGAGGAGTTTTGGGCAAGGAGAAGGATTTTGGGTGGCCAAACTGGAATTGTGGCTGCCTGCGCCCGCTCCCACCCATTCCAAGGTGGGAATTCTTGAGCGTC